ATGAGAACAGACGGAGGAATAAGTCTTCTGCCATTAACGGTGATAAGTAAAATATGTGTATTTTATATTCATGATGCACAGCTGTGATAGTATCCAATTGATATTTAGGGGATAGTAAAATATACATATATATTTTCGAGTTAAACTCATTATGTATTCATACGTACAATACACGTATGTATAATTAGATTATTATTATTATTTTTTAGTATCCATCAATACTAAACGAATAATTAACTAAATTTTTCCGTCCTTTTAAAGAGGCTTACATATTTCCTGCAGTCTACTAACTGTACAGTTAGAAAGCGTAGCGAGAATGGTCCAACCGTTGTTGCTATGAGCAGAGTCTCTATCAGCACTCCGTTCGATGAGACGAAGGAAACTGTAATGTAACCTTTAATCTACTGCATGTCTCTTTACATATGTAGCCCTTTATGGACCATAATCAGCAACGAGCTACGGTAACAAAGATTTCAAAAGTGCAGTATATTCACTGTTGAAGATATTTTTTTTTATACTCTTTCGGCTTTCGGATAGTTCTATATAAATAGTGCCCTAGAACTTTTAGTGAACCTACTAGTAACGGAAGCGAAAGCATGCTCATTGAGCTGGCGTTGATTTTATTTTTATATCGGCTGGCTAGCTTTTATGGAATACGATCTTAATTAAATAGCCTCCTAGCCCCATGGGGCAAAACTTAGTTCGGAGCACGATAACAAGCTCCCATAGGACATAGGTAATGTGTGAAATCTAATATGGACGGTTGTCACTTCCTCGAAATGCGGCGAGATCTATTATCTCAGTCAGACTTAATAAGCCTAAGCTGTGGCAACTCCATTTGTTTACATGGCTGAAAAAGGCTTTGTAAGATAGTCGTTCATCATATGAAAGCCTAAACACGGAACCAGTTTATATCGTATGGTTGTTTGAAAGCGATTCATTCGTTAATTGTGAAGTGCCTCCTGGTAGACGATAACTAGGGCTTTTGTAGGTTCCATAGCTTGGAGAAGAGCTTTTTATGCTTGCCATAGAAGGCTTACTCGTAAATTCATTGAGAGGTTTCGCAGATTCACACTTCAAATATTTAGGACGTTTTTGCGCTCCGTTACAGTTAGCTGTCACAGTGTGGTCCGATATATTCAATTCAAGTTCGTAGGTTTGTTAAAAAAGTTAATTGCTCTTTGATAACAATTATTAGTGGATAAGTTATTCGTAGATTAGTTTTAGATCAAATATCGTCTGCTATGCCCGTATATAATTGACGACCTCAAATTTCAAGATTCGGGCCAACGCACAATATCAGAATCTAAACCACTAGTTAGAAATATGTACTATTCTACTAGACAAACGTAAAGACGACACCCGGAATATAATCTCCCTTTGAATAAAATCGTATTTGACGTAAATTGCAGTTATGAACGGCAGCGTTAACAAACCCAAATAAAACTTACTTTTATTGATCGGTATATGCTACATGTGTAATAACATGATGAAATTGACACTCTATCCTGATTCAAATGGACCTTCCTAATGTCGAATACGAGTATGTTGGCCTACTGCTAGGTGGCCTGATTCCCTATATTATAATTGATCTGTCTTCCAAAATGGACCGTAGAAAAGGGGCAATTGAGGCAGTCGAAGTGCAACCAATATGTTGGACAACTTCGTATGAGGGCTATTACGCTAGATTGTACATATCGTACCATTACAAGCTCTGGGGTGAGGAACAAGCACCAGTTTTATGTATGTCCAGGATGATCCATCTCAACACTATGTTTATGAAGTTAAATTTTAATTAAGTTTTAATCATAAACGGCTTTATACTCAGCACACATACCTAAGTACCGCGTACGATGCTATTTTACTCATAAGAGAAATTGGCAGGGCTTCTAGATGAAAGGACTGGAACGATCAATGCTACGGCAAAGTAGCGATTTTTAGCCCGCTTTCGGATCGAGTTATTGGCCGTATTCTTCATTTTATCCTGATTCGTCTCCCCGATGTACTATTTCAGGTGTAAGTAAAGCTAACCCTCTTTCACAACAAATAAATGTATGTGAGAACCAAGTTATCTACAGCCCCATATTTTTGGCTTAGCGAGACTTGCTAATATGCTGCTCTAAGGGGCTTTTTCATACTTTTCAGTCTAACATGAATAAAAAAATATATATTATTGTTCATATATTCTACTACTTGTAAGATGAATGCTGGATTCAGCGTAGTGTATTATAACAAGAGGCTGACACCTAGGTTAAAGTCATTTGCAGTGTATATATATATATATATATATATATGTGTGTATGACCCAAAGTGGCAGGAAAAAGAAGGGAGGAAGAAGCTAGCTTGTTGTCGATAGTCAGAAATCAGAGATGAGATCAGATCGGCCACGGAGAACGAAACGAAGTCACCAGCAACGACGACTCCAGAGGAAAAGAATTCGTTTCCGAGCCGACATCGATGTCTCGTGTCTAATTCTGGGCGATTCACATTAATTTACGAAGCTGTCCTACGAAGGAAGAGCCTTTTCGGTCTTGGGCACCAATAGGGATGATGCGAGTCGTGCCGCCAACAGTCGAAGCAGTGCGATAGTAGCGACAGCCTCGTGCCAGCTGAGCGGCGCAACCGGCACAAACACAGCGGGCAGCAGCAGTAACATATACCAACGGGCTGCACAGGTAGCACAGCGACTGAGAGCGACTGCGATCATGACGACGACACACCAAGCGGCGTCATAAACAAAATGGCGTTGAGACAGAACGACCCTTCCATGGACCCTTCGCTGGCCCGTTATCACTACATGTACACACACGCGTACGCAGACGCACGGAAAGCCACCACTACCGGCCGACCTGCTCTTCGCCACCAGCAGTGTCGGGCTGGCGTTGACTTGCCGCCATTGTCGAAGGCGCTGCAAGCGGCCAGCGGAAGAACCGGGTCGATTTGGTCCAGACTGACCGACCGACCGACCGACTTGTCTGTCTGGTAGCTCATGTCTACTTAGTACGTTTCGCCACGTGATGGAGCCACTGATGAGCACCTATCACCATTATCTTGCCACTCACTGTTACCGCCGTAACTCTAGTTCGTAATACTGTCTGGAGCTATGACAAATTTGATTCATTATCAAACTAATTTTTAAAGAAAAATGCAATGTCAGGGATCCCCAAAAAGCACAGATAACTACTTTACATTATAAATCAACGTGCTTTCTTGCTATTAATACACATATGTACTTATATAGCAGGTGCGTTTGCACCGAGGTTAACTCTTTGATGTTTTTTGGCGTAACGAACACGGATGTACAACTAGATGGAAAGTATGTGCAGCTTTGTTCACCGAATATTTCCCAACGTCTTTCCAGGCAGTGCGTTCTGGACTTTAAGGTATTTCTAGCTAGGGTTGCTGTATAACAGTTGAGCAATATTTCCTTATTTACTAGCCTGAATTTACACAATATGACTGACTGTGTACTCAATAGGATAAAATACTGCGCTGTTTTTGATCGACAAGGTAGGAATTGACATATTTCGTCGTGTGCTTCTTCTTATTATTATTATTATTATGTCATTTCAATAGATTCCTTGCATAAATTTTACATATGGCAAGTAGAGGATTACGAAAGTAACCGAAGAGAAACGTGAAGCTCTTACAGAAGCAAAACGAAGACCAATGAAAATATGATAATGATAAATAGTAGGATGATAAAGTAATTTGATTTTGAAAGAAACTCTGTTCTACTTAAAGATAAACTTTTACAGTTCCTGCTGCTCATCGCATGCACGAGCACAACGGGGTAAGACTCCAAAGGCCCGCTCCTTATAAACCCTTTAAATATAAATGCCGTACAAGACTCGTCGTCGTCGTCGTCGTCGTCGTCGTCGTCGTCATCGTCGTCGTCGTCGTCGTCGTCGTCGTCGTCGTCACTGGCAACAGGCAGCTTGTAACAACATTGACTGAACGGTGTTTGGAGACGAAATTGGGCAGACGAACAGAGACACCTGTCTCTCGTTTGATTTCTTTTATCACTGCCATTGCCGCTATCGCGCGCATTATTGCTGCGGACGACAAATAGCGATAACGTGTGATATTTTTAGTGTTTATTTTTTGCTTGCGTATGTAAACAGAAATTGAGAGCTTACGCACAGAGGGAACAATGGCTGATAGCGAGAAGGTGGCGAAGCTAGACTGAAGTGTAAGCAAAAGTAGTAGCTTGGTAACGACGATAAGATTGCAGCTTTCAACGGTCGCGGTATATCACGTAACATTGACCCCAGTTAGTTCAGCCTAGTTGAATGAATGGTGCAGGCGCTACCCTTCCCTTAGCGGCTGTTGGGATTTACAGCAGTCATTCGGCATAAACGAACTGAGCGAAAGAAGAACAAATCGGTGGTATCAGCATGTACGAACCGCGTGCACGCGAACCATCGCCCCCATCATCAAGGGCTGCAGCAGCAATAACAATAAGAGTATCGTTCACTGCCAACCTACCAGTTTACCCATTTATCCCACTATTACGGTCGTCATCTTATCATTATAGAATGAAATCAGTAAATAGAAAGAAAGGAAGAGAGGCGCTAAAAAACAGATGATTCTGTGTCTTGAAAACGATAAAGCATTGATTCTTTCCAAAGCAATAATAAGGAAACCTGTCGTCCCATCGCATCAAATAGAGCTTCGAAATGAAGCTTTGAGCTTTTATATTCAAATGTCAATGATTTTTTTTTAAATTGATGCTCATCTTTGTTCAATATGGTTCTTCTACTCAAGGTACTCAAGTGACGCGATTTAAATCTTCTCTTATACAGGTTGACATCGGTTAGCATCAGGCACAGGCCCAACAATGTGGCAGAGTAGAGGGTCAATGGTACACTGTGTGGAGTTGTTTTCGTATTTATTCATTGTTAGTTTTTGTTACAAAAAAGACCCTCGGTTTTTAGTGGACGGTCCTAAACACATATGCATCGATTGTGCAAATGGTTACGGGAATCGAAATCACTCACCTCCATGAAGTCATTGCCGTTTCCGTTGTCATTATCAGAGGAGCACGTGGACGCTTGGCCGTCGTCCATTTGTTGGTGAATTCCTGCTAGTAGGTCATGCTGGTCCATCCGGTGGTAACTGGAGTCGGCTCTTCTGCCATCGTATGCAAGGCCTCCCGCGGGACCGCCCATGCTGCCTACGCCCAACAACACGGCGTCGTCTTCTGGTCTCCGTCCTGGCGGTAAAAAATATATTGTTGTTGTTGCTGTTGTTATTGTCTGGTGAATAAATAAAAGACATTCGCTGCTTAGGCGTCATTCATAGGGTTTAGGCGCAAAAACACAAATTTCCTTGCCAACTTCTGTTGTGACTGCTGCTGCTATTATAAACGCCCTCGCTCTACGTAGTCAGCTAGACCGCAAGACAATTCAATGTGGTGTAGCATGATCCTTAGGTCAACTGCATTGACCGTCCAAATATCGCTCAGATAACTGACATTCACAGCTACGTAATGTGAAATACCCATAAAACTAAAGAGTTTATTTGATTAGTAATAATAGCATTAGCACCGAGTTTCGCACCTGGCGTGGCAGTGAGCACCGTAGCAGCATTGTGTGTCCGTTGGGCTGCCGGGTGCAATTGATGGTATTGTTGTGCAACAGCTGAACTCTGATGTAAAGAGTTCAGGTGGGACGCGTAGGGATCCTGAGTTCCATGAAAGTCTAGTTGCTGCTGAGGCGGCAACGGATTATACGGGGGTGGAAAATAAGGCGGTTGGAAATCCGACGTGGGGGTAAGACGCGGGGCTCCAAAGCCTCCAGGAGCAGCAGCGCCCAAGCCGCCACCACCCGCACCCGTCGATACAAGGTCTCGTCGTTCCTGCAAAGAAAAATATAAACAACAACGAGAATAAATGTTAAACATAAATTACCAATGCATCTAAAACTACAGTTCTCTCAATTAGCCATCTCTCTAGATACGGTATTGGTACGAAAATGCCATAGACTAGCCGGGGGCCCGATACAAGGATTTGTTTAACATTTAGGTTTTTAAGGTGACTAAACTTAGACCTTAGACAATACCCTATTGACACGCAGGCTAACTAGTTATATATATTCGGTACCAATTTATCGAACCAGTTACTGTGAATGGAAAATTTCAGCGTCGTTAATTGCCAAACCGACCATAAGATATTAATTTAATTTAAGGTACGATTTCTCTAATTTTATTTAACAATATTTTTTAAATGCCGTATTGGTGAGCTCAGCAGGGCATCGGAGTTAGAATCAAGACGTTTAGACTTCTATCACCTGCTCAGTCTAAATAAATTTTATATAGGATCTGCGTTTCTGTTATCTCCTGACCAGAAAGCTAGGTTAGACAAGCCCGGCTGTAACATTATGCCCGTTGCAGGAACCTTCAGTTTATTAACCTTCAGTGTATCGCAGTTTAATAATATTGTAACAACCGAATGTGAAAAAAACATTATTCTGTGTTGCAGAGGTGCACACACACTAATGTTTCCTTGATGGACTATAAATTAATAATAATAGCAATATATAATCAGGAAACCAAATTTTTTAGAACTAAACAACAAAATTGTACATCAAGCGCTTCAACTATGCTGTGCAGTCACACGCGACAAAAATAAACCAGAGAATGGTGAACATTGAAGGGTTATAGATAAATTCAAAGCACATTAAAGGTTTTTTAAGAAAAGAGTAATTGGTATGTCTACTCTGCCAGGGACTACTTTAAGTTCAACAATTCGGCGGAATCAAGGTTATACGTTTAGTTCAAAAAGATGGCTATCGTTTCATCAAACACTCATCACGGCGTTTCTGTGCTTGTTTGCGTCTATTGTTACTTATCTTTATTGCCTACATCCTTAACGTCAGTTTTCAACGTTGCGCAACAATGCGTGATAGGCGGTCATAACCTACACATGTAGATATAATTTATATGTAATGATTACACATTACACGAGCTTGAGAGATGAGGCGCTGTACTCCTGTTATGTGTTGTTATGTAAAACCAGTGATATCTTTTGAACAGCCGCCTGTCCTACCAAACCCAATTGGCTCCAAAAGACGGCGGCGTAACTACAACAACGATAACACTTCCAAATGCGGACAAGCGTATGTAGCTTTTTGGCAGTTTTTTTTTTTCTGCAAATCAAACAAATGTATTGAGTTGAGACCACTAATGAGCGCTAATCATTAGCGTTAACGACCGCGTTAACATTACGACGTCGTCAATGGATCGGTTGTGTCCTGTAGAGCCAGTTATTTGTGTTGACTCTCCTAAGCTTTCGTTCGACCAACTCCGGCGACATATTACATTTGAACGCGGCCCAACGCGTCGCCGTGACCTCAGCCTCTGTCGAACGCGCGTTTAATAGACAATTCAGAACACTTTTCAATTACTCCCTTAGTGATAAGTTCGTCTTTGACGGAGGAAATGGACATAAGCGGGTTAAAACACCTTCAACAGAAGAACATTAAGGCTGCTAAGGAAAACACTCTATTGCACCGGGTAAGACGATACAAAACACATTAAAGAAACATGAAAGGTTGTTAGTTACTCATCATGAGGCATGGGGGTACATGGGCTAAATAAAATAGCACAACGTTTTCTCTGCTTTTCAGATCGTTCTGATACGGGCCGCCCTCCTACAAACACACACGTCTTTTTGAAAAATAGAACATCTTGAGACCGCGAATCGGCTTGACGCTTGTGTAAGCAATTTAGGTAGCATCATCGCGAAAATATAATAAACATTAGACCACTGACGTCATCCGCTTCATATGTTCAAATCCAACTGACAACCGTTCTCAAGTACCAGATGGACTGTTTGACACCGACGTTCTGTGATTGTTGCTCTGGGAAAATATATGGAAGTGATTCTTGCGTAACAGGCAGTCGTTCAATAGTACGGTTTCTATTCCGTAGAAAATGCTGTGCACCGCCACAAAAATTAACCTACCGCAAACAGAATATACCGAACTCTATTTATATAGCATGAAGAAATATGTCGGGTCAACTTTAATCAAAAAAGCGCACAGCGTCTGTACTCAAAGAATGCCTGCCGTTTTGTTATCTAGTGTTCGGTCTGTCTGAAAGTTACCGGCTGCACCTGAGGCCTGCGCCTGCCAAAGCACGATAACGTCTGCAGTGCCGCGAACATGAGCATGGCTCCAACTGTATCTTGAGATTTAAGACAAATTTAATATTATTTAGTAGTTTTCCGATCTATTTTCTCTAATGTATCGTCATCAATGTGCAACACTTAACCCATTCACGTGGGACAAATGATAACCGACTTGCCGTAACTAATAGGCAATTTGTCTATACGTTACCGTTAAAGTGGCCAATGTTCAAAGCTAGACGATTTAACCGGTAATTTTTAGTCAGCAGCCATGTCCGGTTATTAGTGTCGGTTTCTCAAGCTTGTTAAATAAAAGAAAAATCTCAAGAATATGACAAGCCAAGTCAGTGTAGATAACCCCACAAGGCTTTTGGCTCACAGTCCTGCCACAATTAAAAAGTGTCCATCTAGAGTCAGTAAAAATGAATGAGACCGAAAGAAAAAAAGTATACGATAATCTAATAGGCAAAGAAAAGATGAACGCTGAATTGTACCAAAGAGACAGAAATCATGTATGAGACCGAATAGGAACAGCGACTTTATCTGATCAAGATATGTATCGCAAGAGCGAACAAGCAAGTACGAACGGCGTACAGAGGCGTGCAGACGTACTTCGCACGCATCATCCTTCTGTATGTCATTTTTCCAATCGACCGATGCTTCGACTTTTCCCTCTACTACTAAATCATACAAGATGGCTATCCGCATCACACACGAAGCCAATCGTATACGTTTTCGTATACATTTCACATATGTCTTAAAGGCTAAAATGAGCTTTTACATTGCACGGGCCACGGTCTGCAACAAGATGAGTAAAAAATTTCGGACGTTAAGTGTGGTTCCGATGGTCTGGAGCTGTGATCGAATGTTTCCGCCAGGCATTGTGTACGTCGGGGGCCGTTGTAGATCGTTGCTGTTGAGTAACCGAAGTTTAAAGCGTTTAATATGGCTTGTATTTGTGATCTGTGTATCTTACGTGATAAACAATTGTTCACTGTTATTGTTTTGTATTAATGATTATTGTTGCTATACTAGTGAATGATCATCGCCGTTTGTGTTGTCTGCATGTTTTGCCGCCGGCCTCTGCCAGCATTCGATATAATGGCTGAACGGCAAGCGGATGCGAACTTTCTAAGGGCCCTTCATTGTTGTTTCTGGTAAAATCCGATTCATCTATTATTTTATTTCAAAGCAAAGATTCAGTTAAGGAAATAAACAGTTCGAAGGTGATACGTAAGGCAGCCTATCGCACCATCTTAACTGGCTGATTAACGATCGTCTAAATAGCGACGACTTTTTATTGACATATTGCTTGATGTAAAACATACAGTAAGCAATGTATGGCTATAAAGCGCAATTTTTATAAAGTAACGCAATCTGCTACAAAGGCCATTGGGATGCGCTCCATGTTCTGCGCAGTTTCACAGTGAATGGCCTGATTGACTAGTACGTTTTTGCAGCTTACGGCGAGGTGTTGCTTGAACAAGCCTATTTAGCACTACCTAAAGGGTTGCGCACGAATATACCAAAAAAATGGCGAAGGACACAAAGGGCTCGTTCGAATATCTGGCACTGGGACTGTCGTCTACCATGACGTCTGCTGTCTGTCATGGCAGCAACTGACGACAAAAATGCCGCTTGCTGACATAAATCAATCGAGCCTGAAACGATGTACGGACTGACCAATCAAATAAAGAGTAACTCGAGAGAAGATGAGAAAGACGAAAAAGCCCAATAGCTTGACACTACCGTCGATGCTTGATCGGAATTCAGCTATAAATAACGGTTCTATAAACGCAAGCTTCGCCTATACGAAGTAAATTAGTCACTGTCTGCGTTTTGCGTGTAACAACGCCTGATTAAGTCTTTCTATCCGCTTGTGTCATTCAAGACGGAATTATAATTCATAGTAGTTGTTGGGCAACCGCTGGATTGCTGAGCTCATTTTCTTTTGCCGTTGGTGGGGTACACCGTTAATGGCCACGTCGGTTAAAAACAGCGGAATGATTACAACAGTACATTCAGGCGCCTGGATATTTCTTGTGCTCTGCACATTTAGCGGGACGCGACATCCAAGCGCATACAACTGAAATATGGCTAAGCATTAGTAACGGGGTATTTTTTAGTCATAATTATGTTGTGACACTCGTTCAAATAGATTGTTCTTCTACTTCAACAATAACAACAAGCGGACAACAGCGCTAGCAGTGGCAGTCAGGGATGACGGTTACCTAGGTAACGCTAGCGGATCAATTCGATCCTCTTCTACAATACCACATTGTCAGATGACCGAGGCTCTATCTGTATCTACCTGAAGACGCGGACAGTTAGCCCGCTGCTCTAGCTGTAGAATTGAACTAGACGTTCGATTAATGTCCAGAGAGATCCAGCAGTAAACTGAGGAAGCGAAGATAACTCATGCAGGAGAAGGAAGAAATTGATACGGTAAAACGATATGGGAAATGTTGACCACGCGTCAGGCGATAGCGCTGATGTACATGCAACAATTCTACTGAATTGCTAGCTTGGTATCGTTCAGCGCGTATGTGATAATTTACTTATTTGTGTGCAGAAGTACCCATTTTGCTATACACTGTTTCTTTTTACTGGTTCGCTCTTTAACTGAAAACTGGTTATTAAAGGCGAGTGTGACGTAAAGTGTCGTTGTTTCTTCCTAATACAAACTATTTACGTCGAAATTTACAAAACATTTCCGCCAGCACATTTAATT